TTTAGTAGAAGCTATTCCCATTTGCAACATTTCCTGAAGCAAGTCCTGAGCTTTCTGCAAGTTCCCAGTCTTACAGCATCCATCAAAAAGAGCATTATAAACGATCCTACGTGGAGACATCCCCCTAAGTATCATAGAGTCAAACAAGCCAAATGCCTCGGACAACTGTCCTCCTTTAGCTAAACCACATATCACGGCAGTGTATGTCGCTCTATTTGGTCTTGAACCTTCTTTTAAGATGACATCTAATGTCATTTTAGCTCTCTCCGTTTGACCTGCTCTAAAGAGCCCAACAATTAAGTGATTGCGAGTACGTAAGCTGGGACGGATACCTCTGTTTTGTGTTTCCTCATAAAGAGTAAAGGCCTTTTCAATCTCACAGTGTTTAACGAAATAACAGATGAGAGCTTCATACGAGGAAACGTCAGCAACTAGATTCTTGCTGTGAAGTTCTGAAATGACTTCAGCTGCTTCTAGCATTTTTCCATTCACCAACAGACTACGAAGGAGGACAAGGTAGACCTCACGCGCTTCCAGAACCCCCAGAGCAAGCATACTTCTAAATACCCCAAAAGTTTCGCTTACCTTACCTCTTTTGCAGTTCGCACTGATCAAAGCACTATAAATAGCTTTGTTGGGCTTAAACCCATGATGTAGCATCTGAGATAAGTAGCTATCTGCATTTTGCAAGTCCCCCGTTCCACAATATCCAATAATGAAGGCTTCATAAGTATACTGGTCGGGTTTCAGGCCTCTATCCAGCATTTCAACCAAACAAGCGTGAGCAGTTTTCATCTTCCGCGCTCTACAGAGGCCCTTAATAACAATATTGTAATGGGGAGTAGCTGGCTCAATCCCCTGCTCGTGCATTGCCTCCAAAGTCATCTTCAACCGTTGTGAGTGGCCTTTACGAGCATTAGTCATCAACAAAGTTCTCCAGGTATGAACATTTCGCTTCCAATTCTCCTGTATCAAGTCTTGAAGAAAAGACCTAGCCGTGTTCAGATATTTATTGCGGCAGAGACAATCAATTATCAAACAATAGGTTGACTCAACAGGGGCCAGATTTTTCTTCTTCATTTCTTCAAGAAGCTCCAAAACAGTAGTGACATTACAACCTTGACGACAATGTCCCTCAATCAACAAGGTATAAGTGGTCAAATCAGGCTCGATACCTTCTCTAGTCATCTCATCCACAAGTTCTTGTGCCTTCTCCATCTTACCACACTTGCAGAGGCCACGAAGAAGTGTATTACACACGGCTAAATCAACGCCTTTAGCGTCCTTTATATCCTTCAATTTGAAAGCCTTGCCCACATCATCATGTTTCAAGTAATAGTTAAGTAAAGCTTCATAAACAACTGTATCAGGCTTCACTCCCCTCTCAGTCATCTCAGCTAATACCATTATCGCCTCTCTAAATCTATTCGCAGCACAAAGCCCATCAATAATCGTGGTATAAATATAAATATTAGGGACTAACGACTTGGCTAACATGCAATTTTTAAGCTCAATTGCCTCATCTACATGTCCACCTCTAAACAACCCCTTCATCAAAAAATTGTACGTAAACATATTCGGACAAAGCTCCTTCTCTTCCATCTCAGCAAAAACTTTCTTGGCCTCACTAACATTCCCCTCTCTACAATGAGCATCCACCATATTCGTATACGCAAAGGCATCGAATGTAACATTCGCTTCACGCATCGCATTACAGACTTGCCAAAACAATCTAAAGTTGCTAGATTTCAACAGATCAGTCAACAAGCGATTACAATAAAACAAACTAGGCACATAATCAAGATCTTTATGAGCAAAAACAACACCAGAAGCTTCAAACAAGAACCCCTTTTCTCTATACTTATCCATCAACAACCCAAATATCCCAAGATCAAATTTTTTTCTAGACCCATCAAATTCTTTTTTACAATTATGAATAGAACTCAAAACATCTAAAGGGGGCAAACCAAAACTGATCAAAAGTTCAAGAACAGTATTAGTAGGACCATACAAGCTATTACTAAATAAAAGAGCAACTAAATATGAGTGAATATTCAAATCTGAGTCAATACCAACTTTGTGTTTTGACCATTGAAAGAAGCTGAGGAGACGTTCAAGATGGTCAGTCAATTGTTGTTGGCCAAGAACAGAGCGAATTATATGTGGGTTTAGATTCTTGCGTAGGTTTGAGTATGAGGAGGATTCAATGAGGCTTTTCCATTTCTTGTGTTTGAGAATTTGGGTGAGTTCTTGGACCAAGATTTGGTTATTCTGGGGAAGTTGAGGAGAGTTGCAATAATAATTTGTGTTATGAAATGTAGCTTTTTGTTCAATACATCTTGTGATTTTTCTATGCAAATTCCTCCACATTGTTTTTGGAATTTTTCAGTTCCTACTGGAGAATTTGGAAGATGGTCTTTTATATTTTCCTTTTTCGTTAGTAATAGAATGCAGCAGAACTAACAGTGAGATAGTGTAGTGAGAAATGGAGCAGCTCGGCATCAACTGTTATTGAACCCTAGAAGTGTAATTCGAAGTTTCCTAGGGTGTTCATCTACGCAGTTTTAAAAGGTTTGATTTGGTAATTTTGGCTTTAAAAAATCTGTCAATATTATTTCATATTAAGCTAGCGTTTGACATAAATCTGCTTGAAATTTTAAAAAAAAATTAAGTTATGTTACAAAATAAATTTTGTAATTTAAAGTTGTGTTTAGACATTCATTTTATTTGAGAAAAAAAATTGAAATTTTATGAGTGAGAAGAAAATTTTAGAAGTTGAACTTGAAATTTTTTTTAATTTTTTTTTTATAAAAAATTATCATATTCCATGCAAAAATTTTAATTTTTTTCGAAAAAAAAGTAGCCAAAATTTATGGTTAAATGGGAAATTCGGTCTTTTTATGTGGTTCAATAAATTCGATACACACTTAAAATTATAGTTTGCCAATCAAATTTAGAATATACAAACAAATTGTGAAATTGGCCGAGGATCTATCACAAACAAGTGCACAGATAGTCACTCTCAGGTATGTTATTTAGATATTAGCATGTACTTGTTTGTCCTGAAATTTTAAACTAAAAATATTAACTTCAGGATATTTTTGTCCCGAAAAATTAAACTGAAAAAGTGAAATTCAGGACGCACTACCTAGTGTCATTTCTACTCCTCTTTATCCCATAAGGTAGGGGTATACATTACCTTTTCTAAATAACATATTGTGAAAATATATTTGGTAGGGGTATACATGGGTCGGGTTGATACGGATTTTCTAATTACCAAACCAAACCAATTATATCGGGTTATTAAATCTAAATACCAAACCAAACCAATAAAAGTCAGGTTTTTTAATCTCGATTTTTTACGGATTTTTCGGATTTTTCGGGTTTTTCTTCATAAAGTCTTCATAGCACAAAACGTAAAATTTGTGCTCAAAATATTTCTTTAATCGTAATAAGACAGAACTATATGAGTTGTTTTTCAATAAAATAACATAAATATGAGATGAGTCATGGCATTGTACTAAAATATTCAACAATAAAGATAATAATAAATATTATTAATAAGACATAATGAAAAAAATATAATTTAAAATTATGACTAATAAGTACTATTATTTACATGACTAACTACTAAAAAAAAATAAGTTATACATTTTATCTAAACCGTGGAAAAACTAAAAAATAGATATCCAATACTATTTTCATGCCTAATACAATTGAATTGATTGTCTTTTATTAGCATTAGTATTGATTTGATTTTAGTTTAGGATTTATTTGAGTTACTAATATTTATGGACTATAAAACTTATTGGAGCATCCAAAAATTATAAGCCCAAGCTTGAAATAATATGTTAAAAGATAAAACTATGAAAAAGTTTAAGAAATATTTATAAACTACACTACCATAAATATTTTTATGTATTAAATATATTTAAAACTTCTATGCATATAATGTCGGGTTTGTTTGATTTCGGTTTAACTTTTTTTAGTTAAAACCAAACCAAACCAAATATGGTCGGATTTTTTTTTCCAACACTAAACCAAATCAAACCAAACCATAGTCGAATTTTTTTTTCTCGATTTGACTCGGATTATCGGGATAGTGCGATTTGTCGGTTTTTATTTGTACACCCCTAATACTGAGTATGTTGTTGCAATCAAATTGTGAAACTGGTTTTTCACACTTGACGATTAAATCAAGCAAAAAAGAAAATAAAGCTAAAATAGATAAAATTAAACCGCAACTTTCTTCCTTTGAAAATAAAAACAAAGAAAAAACATGAGACACAATATTATTAGAAGCCAAATCATGAACTATCAAATTTAAAGTGAATAAAATTTGTCGATATTCAACAAATTAAAGATCTAAAGAAATGCATCTCTGTAACTGAAACATTTCGGAACAAAAATTAATACTCCACTAACTGAAACATTTCGGAACAAAAAAAGTAATAAATGACGACTAATATTCGAAATAGAAGTAGTAAATATCTACTTCCTTTATCTCAAATTATCTATCGTGATTTCTAAAAATAATTATCTTAAATTATTTGTCATTTTAAAAATTCAAGATAAAATTAATTATTTTATTTCTATTTTACCCGAAATAGTAATTGTTCTTGAAGATGAAGATATTACATAAATGGAGTAAATATTCAATGAAAAGAGATCATATCTCAAGACATAAATAAGGGCAAAATAGTCTAAAACCCTTCTAAGTAATATTTTCTCAAGAGACGTGTACACACGACAGATAATTTGAGACGGGGGCAAGGGCAGCCCGGTGCACTATGCTTCCGCTATGCGCGAGGTCCGAGAAAGACCCGAACCACAAGAGTCTATTGTGCGCGGCCTTACCCTTCATTTCTGCAAGATACTGTTTCCACGATTTGAACCCGTGACCGCCTGATCACATGACACAACTTTAAAATACCCGAAAACACAGACTGCCACTTAAGGAACTGCTTTCTTCAACCAAGCTACTAAACTTTACTGTCTGGTAAACTTAAAGAGGGCCCTTGAATACCCATACCATGGTTATGGATACAGTATAAGCAGAATCAATTCCAACATGAAATCAAATCTTTAAGAAGGAAATATTATTCTTTGGCAGGGAGAAAGTTAGAAGAAATAAGAAATAGGAAAGACATTTCAAAGTCTCACAACAGAATGGACAGCATGTTTATGATCTAGTACAAATCTAATATTCTTGTCAACATACATCAAACAAGAAAGATAGATAGCTTTGCCCCTATTTGAAGATCCATCTATCTGAATTAGAACTCTAATGTCATGTAGTTGATCTAATGCTGAGAAAATGCTCCAACAAGCTAAATGTGAGTAGCTGTGGTCACTGCTTCTTCTCTTCGGCCTTCTTTGGCTGAAAAATTGAAATTAAAATAAAGTTAGAACCATAACCATATAGTATATCATTACGAATAACAAATTTTCAGATAGACAAACTCGTTGTTGGTACAATTAGCTAGCGAAAAGAGATTGTATATGGTCGAAATAGATTTCGGCCTTCGTACAATTGATAGAGGTCGAAACATAATAGATCGAAAAAAGACTTCGTAATATCGAGTCCGAAGAAGGTATGAACGAGCTTCAGATTTCAGGTATAGGTCAAATACCGAGTTCGAAGTCATTATCGAGCTCGGGTCCAAATCGAACTATGATGAGATGATTTCGAGCTTAAGGGGTAGAGACCAACCGATACCGAGCCCGGATTCTGAGTCCACATCGAGCTCTAGAAGCAATACCGACCAGCACCGAGGCCGATCGAGCTCGAGCTCACAGACAAGAGCCGTTGCAAATACACTGAGGGAGAAAATCTCGGCGGAAATTAGGGAAAAGTTGATTTATCATGGGTTCTCCACTATGTATTTTTAATTATATATAAAGTAGGATCCTCCACTATAAAGAGGATGGTTACATTTCTGTAGAGGGCAGTTTTTTGGCTTACATTGTAAATTCAAGCACCATACACTTCTATATTGAAGAGTTATTCTTTTAAGATTCAAAAATTGATTCATCTTGCTTAGTCCTAAAAATCATCTTCTTTCCAACCTTGTTTATTTTGCATTCTTTGCAATCCGCATTTGATATTTCTATTTATCCTTACAATTTGTATTAAGCTATACCACATATCCTTAGAACTATATACAAATTAGACTCTATCCGTTTTTCGGGTAAACAGAGACAAAACTTTTCTCTTTATTTTCAGAACCGGTGGTCTCTCTCTATCTCTCTCGAATAGGCAAGAGTCCAATACGGAACAAGGTCTTTACAACTACGAATAATTTCAAATTTGGGGAGCAGGATATTGTATGTGCTAGACATAATTTTCTTAGAAAGCTTAATCATTTTCTAAAAAAGAAAAAGGATGAAAGAGATTTATAATTAATAATATCTCTGGAAAAGGACATATATGTAGTTTTAAATGTCCAAATCTCTTTCATATTCAGAACGAAGCACAGTTTTGGGACAAGCAGAACACAGCAAAAAAATAAAGGAAGTAAAGAGCAGGGAACGATAGGGAAAAGATGAAGCAAAGCAACCCATAGAAATAGACAGACTCGGTGTACAAATGGTCCAAACAGAGGACAACACGACTCAAAATACAGAAATTCAGGAAAATAGACACACATTAGATAGGTGTTTAAGGTACGTTCGAGACCTAAAAGTATTGATCGACTGCATGAGTTTAAATCTGGCGTCCATGGTTCATAAGTTTCAACATCTAAAAGCACATATCTCCTTGTAACAAACACTTCCCATTGCCTTTTCCTTTCAGGAGTCTTGTCTTTTCCTTGTCTTACTTAGCCTTTTCTTGTTCTTTTCTGAAAAAGAGCTCGGGTAACTAAGCCTAATCAACCACTTCATGGACAGAATAGAGAGTTTCATTCTATTATGAATAAGAAAGTGTTCCCAGACTGCACGACCAACTTAATGAATGTGCTGTCTTTCAGTAAGCAATATCTTGCAAAGTTTCTAACAAATGATTCAAAAGCTGGGCCCCAAGTTTTCACAAAATAAAAATTGATTTTCTTCCACAAGTTCCGGTCTTTCATACAGCTAAGCGCAAAGCTCCTCAAACATTGCTGAGTTTGAATCAGCATGTGATCTTACATAGTTCTAAAACTTCATGATAAGAGTATTTCGACTCATTCAAGCTCTTTAAAAACTTCTAAAGTACAGGTGCCATGTAACTCATAAAGCTTGGAACCCCGTCCTCACCTCACCGTTCATTGTAACATCCCAGACTTTAGTCAGATTCCCACATTGGCAAAACACAAGAGGGATGTTGGGTATATAACTTAACAAGCTTTAGACCCTAGTGACGCGTTTTAAACCCGTGAGGGCCTTGGCCCAGAGCAGACAATATCAGTAGCGGGCTGGGCTGTTAAAATGGTATCAGAGTCACTCTTGTGTCAGCCTTGCCGATGGTGGGTCAGAGTTCAACTGAGTTTAGGCAAATCCCGGTTAGCCGGGGCAAATCTCAATGCTGAGTCTAGGCGAATCCCATGCGGTGGGGCAAACCTCAGCGAGGACGCTGAGTCCATAAGAGGGGGTGCATGTAACACCCCAGACTTTAGTCAGAGTCTCACATCGGCAAAACACAAGAGGGATGCTGGGTATATAAGTTACAAGCCTTAGACCCTAGTGACGCATTTTAAACCCGTGAGGGCCTAGGCCCAGAGCGAACAATATCACTAGCGGGCTGGGTTGTTACATTCATATACTGTCGAGATGTCACAGCACATAATTCACCCCTGTGGGCATGTCTTGCTCATTATTTGACACTCTGCATCTAGCATTTAGCTGTTCCGACAGGAGCTTCTAGGGTACTCGCCTTCCTAGACTAGTAACTAGCAATTGATCTTGAAGCATCACAACAAGAGTAACTCTTTTGATGGCAACAAAATCAGTACAACCACCAGGAAATAAATTCGTGCTCTTATCAAATGATCAGCTTAAAACAGAAAGCTCCTCAAAGTCTCTTATACATTTATTTTAACATAATTTTTCCAAGGGTCTGGTTTTAATCCACAAAGCCCCTCAAAACCATTACATCACTTATATAAAGTAATAAGGGAGATATAAAACCCCTTTATTGGGCAGGAACAAATACAGAATATATGAAAGGGCAATTACAGGAACTCAATAGGAAAATTCCACTAATCTAGAAAACAAAAAATGCTCTCTATTGGGAAATATGCCAAATCTTCTCCTCTCTCCTCTCCGATCTCCCAGGCCACCAACTTTCCCGATGAAGCTCTCTTCTCAGCTTAGTGATGGATTGGAGAATATTTTTTATCTCGGGGGACAAGTCCTTCGAGTTAAGAGATATTAGCGAGGATTATGATAGATGGTTTATTTTCTATGAACGCAGCAGAAGATTTACAAGCAGCATCAAAATCGATGAAAGTAACTTGCGATGAGTTTGCGAAGCTTTGAAAGAAGCAACGCTTAGCACTGGGAATAGATGCAGAAGATGGTGCAGAAGGATACAAGTCTATACATTCAGAGTAATTCAAAATTTCAATATCTACGGGAGGTTCTTGCGAATCGAAACCATTCTAGGGGGAAGGAAATCTGCAATAATAATCCCTGAAAATGACTACAACAGGGGATGGGGGGACATTGCAGATAAAATTTTAAGATCTCTAGGATCTTGCTGGACTAACCGATTAATGTGATTTTAGATCCATCTAAGGTAATGTCTTAGGAAAACAAATGCCCTATTTATGGCCCACGACTATTAGGGGGAAATACATAAGCATATGCCTGGCCTCCGCTGCCTAACAAAATGAGTATCTTGGTTGCATCTCCTTAGGTCCACCTTATTAATGATAGTTGATTACTTCCCACATGATAAACATACTTTCAGCTCTCTAAGAAGTGCTGTCTCACACATCATTAAAAATTAAAAAAGAAAAGAATACACACATTCACAAACACAGACACAAAGTCACACACATTGGCATAAATTAGAGCTGGGAAACAAACTGTTTCGTCAAAGCAAGGATTTTTTTTTTGGATAAGTAGGTCAAAGCAAGCTTTTAATATCAAAGAGAACTGGAAGTGTTATAAATATATCAAAAGTTTTTCTTGCTCTACTATTTATTATGCCACTGATAGTAAGGTTGTGTTCTATACAAATAATCAATTAGGTACACAAATTTCGACTAACTAGTGCAAGAGGATATCTTCATTCTGCTCAAGTTTGTACAAATTGGAAGCACTTCATATTTAGTTTTATGGAGTGGTTGATTCTGATGGGTATTGACAAATGCTAACAAACTAAGAATGGTTCTATTAAACAGCAGAAAACAGCAGTTCCAAAACATGAAATATACCCCAGCAGGTAAGAACAAATAAGTGGATTCAAAAAGAACTAATCAGGGTACAATTATAGAAAATTGGAAATTCCATAGAGTTGTCCGAATTAAGTACATTTTTTGCCACTACATCAGTACACAGTAACAGAATCCTGAATGCAACACCTCTAATACTACAAAAAGTTTCACTTTTTCATCCAATTTTGACAAGCCACTAGAGGATCTCACATATAAACTCTCACATCCCCTTCAAAAATCATATATAAAACAAAACAATAAATTCTCTAAAAATAAGAAAGAGATCAGATTTTTCTACGCATAAAATAAACATAAGCAGGTGAAAAAGAAATGCACACAATATGTTCAACGATTTGCCGCGAGCCGTCGACCACATCAAAATGAAAATCACATAGCAATAATGGAAAAAGGGAAAGCTAGCACCTTTATACCAAGAAATGGTTGTTGGAGCTCTTCATCAGGAATAATAACGGGCCACTTCTCACCAGCTTCACGAAACATCTGTTCAGTCTCAAGATACTGACCCTTCTCAAGAATCATAGTACGGATGTTCTGTGCGGGTGTAGAAGTGGCGTCATAGGTTTGCTCGACTCCGTTGACGAACGTGACAGTGATTTCAGGTGGTTGGTCATCTGTACGGCGCTTGACCTGTACTTGACAGCTTGGATTAGATTCTTTGGCTTTAGGAGCATTACACTGAGCCAAAAACTCCATACATGAAGCTGTGCGTGGGTCTAGGGCATTGAACTGGATCTTCACCTTCGACAAGAACTTCAACATCTTCTCTTTTGCTTCCTAAAAAAGTAAGATGAAAACCTCAATAAGCAAACCTGTCCAAGATTAATTAAATCTTTCAACGTGGACAACAAAATAACCAAAAATGCAACCTTTATTGCTACAACCAAACTAAAATAAAGCATACATCAAGAATACTGAATGTAGATATACACTTTTCTTTAACTTCAAATAATTATATATGTTTCAAGAAGAATGAAAAATACCAGTTAAAGCTGGACATAATACGGTGAACAATAAAGAGAACGCGATACTAAAATATGTTACTAGAAGAAGTCGAGAATAATCAAATCTATCAACGTGAGCGACAAAATAACAAAGATGCAACCTTTATTGCTATAACCAACCTAAAATCAAACATAAACCAAGAATATTGAACGCAGCAGGTATACACTTTTTAACTTCAGACAATTATATATGTTTCGAGAATAATGAACAATACCAGCTAAAGTTGGACTCAATACAGTAGCAGCAAAGAGAATGCCGAGATTAATTAAATGTTTCACGTGGGCAGCAAAATAACCAAAAGATGCAACCTTTATTGCTACAACCAACCTAAATTCAAGCATAAATCAAGAGTACTCCAAAAGATGCAACTTTTATTGCTACAACCAAACTAAAATGAAGCATAAATCAAGAATACTTAATGCAGGTATACTCTTTTTAACTTCAAATAATAGTATAAGTATATGTTTCAAAAAGCATGAACAATACCAATTAAAGTTGGACACACAATATAGTGAGCAACAAAGAGAATGTGATATTAAAAATCTAGGTTTGGGGTTTAAGGAACAAATATAAAGCAATTAAAATAAAGATAAACTAAAAGCACAAATCACAAGCAATAAATGTGAAATTGATGAGATCAGAACACCTGATAATAAGAGGTAATTCTAATAAAAAAATGTGCATCTAAAACTGCAAAATCCTAGTAATGCTTATTCATACCGGCGTTGGGCTCCGGAGCTATCTCATCAACGATTAACTACTTCTCCTCGACGGCTTCTTCTCTGTATTGGAATTGAAAATGCCAAGGTTGCGGGAGTTTTGCAGAAAAAAATATTGGCAAATCTTTCCTTATTCAGTAGCATAAAAAATAGCGGATGGAAGGGTATCCTTTGGTCTATATTTGCAAAATATCTAAAAACTGTGTTAGAATTTAAATACCAACTCGCAACACCCCGTGAAATTTTGAGGAATTTAAGCTGTAAATAGCACGGGCTAGTCAGTTTTCACACAAATAATTAAAAAATAGTCATTATTTGTAAAGTCATTAAAAAAATAACTATTATTTTAATATATTAGAAATTGATACACCTGTGTATGAACTTCCACACTCCAGCACACGGAAAGTTCCAGCATAATATACTGGAAATTGTAGCACCTGTCTATGAACTTCCAGCATATTATGTTATACCAGTATATTATGCTGGAACTCCAATATGATGGAAGTTCACATGTAAAAAATTCGAACTCCGGTATATTATGCTGGAATATTTTCCGGATCTTGAACATTGTTTTCGTTCAGATTTATCTTTACGTGAAAAGTGGCTAAATTTTGATTACTTTTGAAACTGTGGCTATTTTTCAATTAGTACTTGTAAATCTGACTATTTTTTAATTTCACTCGAATTTAAGGGGACTACCTATTAAACTTAAACTAATTATCCGACTGTACCCACTTGGATAATAATTACTATACATATATATATTCCGTATAAAATTATTACTCGTCCACCAATCAAGAAAGTCTTTAAAGGGTTCAGGGGCAATGAACATATACCTAACCCACATGTGATCTTCCTTCCTTCAATCCAAGGTAAGAAACGTTTTATTTCTCTGTAATTGCTTTTATTTTCATAAGTAAAATTGTTTATCTGATAGGCAATATTTTTATGATATTCAAAAAGTAAAATATTGACAAATTAATGGGTGCAGGGAGTAGCAATTTTTATTTAGTTATATGATGATTTTGTGTATACAACAAAAGAGGTTTGCTCAATATCTACAAATTATGATTCAATTAACTCACTACAAGCATGTAGTTTAATTTTCTCTTGTTGAATGAAATCGTCACCTATTGAATACCTTTCATCGCCACAAAACGCTCTCTCACTCCCTACAAATTTTATATTTTCTCGTCGCTATTTGTTCTAGTCCTAGTCATTTTTCAGAATTTAATTGTGATTTTGGTGTTATTAAATATTGCTTATAGTACCTTCTGGAAGTTCATACTAAAATTTAACTGCACTTGGAGTTAATTTGAGGTGATTGAGATCAAAATTTTCAGCTGAAAATCGAAAAAAAAATACAGTTACCCAACAATATACCGCTATATAATATAATATGTTGTAGGAGTATATAGCTATACTGCAACAATAACTTTTTATAGTATATAATATACTACAATTGTATATTGTAATAATCGAAGAAGAACGCGGTTATCTAACAGTATACCGCTATGATATACAATATATTGTAGGGGTATATAGCTATATTGCAACAATATTATAGTATATAATATACTATAACGGTATACTGTAATAATATGCAATATACTACAACAGTATGCTGTAATCATATATAATATCCCGTAATAGTATACTTCAACTGCTAGGCGATGCAACAGAAATTGTTTCTGAATCCATATAATTAAACTACAACTCTCTTTTTTGAATTATTTTCAGATCTGATTTTTTGGAATTGTGTGTGTTCTTCAGAATCTACAATTGCTAGTCTATGAGTGTGTGTATCATGTGAGTCCTACAGGAGTGTGAATTGAGGAATCTCAGACTCATTGACACCAATACTAGGGCTGCAAATGTTATAAACACTATCAATCAGCAACTCAAAATCATCATTGTTAGTTGAACTTTAAGTGGTCTCCAGTAGCAGTTCAGGAGCAGGACATTTTTTCTCCTTCAATGGCTTGACGCCTATCCATTTCTCTCTTTCTAGTGAAACCTTAGTATCATCCCGAAATTCTACCATGTTAACATTTATTGCTTCATATTTCTGTCGATCCTTAGAGAGATAGGTTAAATTGTCAAGAGGCTCCACTAACTCCTACATTGGCATTTCATAAAACATCTTTTGCACATGGTCACAATGCACATCTCTCTCATTGTCGAGCCTTTGACTCACCGTTGGCTCCGACAGTAGCTGATTAACAAGATGCATTTCCCCTTTCAACAGCTCAGCTTTCTCTAACCTATTCCTCTTGGACGAAGCTTCTGGAATCTCAAGTGATGACTCAACAATAATCAAATTATGTTCAGCCTTTGTTAATCTCATCTCTTCGGCAAGAGTTCTGCATTTGCAACATCAATAAAATTCATGGAAACCTAAGTAATAAATTCTGAATCAGTGGATTACTCCATCAATTGTACACTATTCTCCTTGTTATTGCTACTGTTGATACCATCCTCCTCGTCAGTTGGCATTTCATCGAACAATGTGTACGTATATTTTTGAAGACTAGTTTTCCCATACACAACTAATGATGAGGCTTCTATGTCTCGTTCTAATATAGTAGAATCTAGTGTCGTGCCTCCCATAAGAGTAAGACTTTCTCCCAATTGGGCCTCCACGAGAGATGAAAAATTCGATTCACCCGATAGGATATCTTCCCTCTGCTTCCAATTTCCTTCAAATGAATATGAATAGAATTGATATGGATCAACAACGAGTCTTTTGCCTACGACATAACTATTTTTCCACTTATTACAATATCGTTGATACTGTGAATCGACAGAGGCGATGGTGGAGCTTTTAGCAACAATAGGATATGGATTATAATATGTATATAGATGCGAAATGCAGTCATCATATTTCCTCAAACTAGTGTAGTTGTTGTAGATAACACATGCGTAACCTCCAGATGGCTAAAAATTAGAGAAACTAATGGAGAATTTCGATGGTTGGTATGCATACTGAGGACTAATCGAACTAAATTGCTGCTGATACCCACTATAATAAGCCTCATATCTTATATTGCTATAATCATAAGCATCTCCTCCATAACCTGGTAAAGTGTTAGGACTTGGAGGGCCACCATATGGGCTGGGAGTGAAATTAGAGACATACCGAGGATTTTGGAACGCCATTAATGGATATCCACAAAGCGAGGATAGTCGCTCTGATACCACTGATGCAACTTTCAATCAGAACAGAAACTGAAAATGGAAATTGAGCTACGGAAGAAGAAAAACTAAGAAAAGCTAAACATATCTTCATTCATGCCATGCCAAATAACTCATACAACGCTAATATATCCTAAAACTAGATATGAACTAGAAGGTAAATAAAGAAAGTAATAAAAGAAAGATAAATGACTAAACTGTAATCATCACTAAAAATTATTATGACCGACTCAACAATCATAGTACTACTCCAAAATCATAAACTACTACTCCTCACAACTGCTTTATTTTTAGATCGTATCACGGAATCTACCGAAATTAACATCAATTGATGGATTTTAACAAAATCTATCGAATGATGTCGATTCCAGCAGGTTACGATCAAGGTTCGAATGAGAAATCCAAAGGTGACAGTGGCGGTTAGGGTTTAGATTTTAATGGTAATGAGACGAGAATGAAGGTTCGATCTTAGTGGGACAGGACATAGGAGGAAAAATGGAGTTGATTGGTGGTGGTTTGAGGTTATTTGGATAACTTTGGCCGGCGGCGAGGATTTCCGGCCAGTGGTTTACGGTGGAGATAGGCGGGGGATGAGAGAGAGAGAGGGCGAGAGATGGTTTGAGAGGTCGTTTTGGGGGTGGGGTGGTCTCGGACAGTTTCAAGAGAATGGGGAGTGAGTTCCCATCCATTGGATTGGCCAAGATGAAGGGCCAGGATTGACAGAACTTGAAATGGGGTCGCTTGGGGGTTAATGGGTCTGGACCGGGTAACAGCTGAGACCTGGGCTTGGGTTTGTACGGGGTTTGTGTTGGGCCGCATGAAAAAGGTCCGATTTAACATTTGAAGGCTGACCAAACCCAATTTTCTTTCCTTTTAGCTTTTGCACAATTATACACTTCAAAAATATCTCAAGCAAATTCTAATTCGCAAAATTAGTCTATACACTTGTTCTAGTCTAAAATTATAAAATTTGAATTAACAAATTGATTAACTAAATGAACCTACAAGAATAAAAATGGCTAAATATATTTTTTTGATTTTTATTTTTATGAATACAACTAACATGCAACTAAATGCTAATGATGCAATTAAAATCTAAAAATGTAAAGGGTGAAGGATAATATATTTTTTGACTCTCTTATGATTTAAAATGCTTCTAATTATGCTAAAAATGCAGGCAAACACCATAAAAATGCAAACAGCAAAAATAGAGAAAAATCTCTAATAATTCTAAGAAAATCAAAGCTAATTAGAAAATTATTTTTAGGAGTTTATGAGCAATTTTACGCAGGAGAAAAATTACGTGCTCACGGTCGCAGAACTCATACAAGTTCAGAAGTTCTGTAAAAGATGACCTGATTCATAGAAAGAACGTGGCTCATAAATTCACAGCAAAATGGGTTGGTGATAAACACCAAACAATCAATCACAAATAATTGTTACCCCTTGTTTGGATGATTGTTACCCATTGTATCGTATCGTATCGTTATTATAATTACAATGTTTGTTTTGATTGTTATTTAAAATTTATTGTATTGTATTATTAAATCCATTGTTACGTAATAACGAAAAGAGCCATTTTGCGTAACGACCGATTTTGTGTGGTCGAATCGTTACGTATTTTTCTTTTCAATTATACCCCTATTTATTACTTATTAATCCTATTTTACCCTTTCCTTTATTTTATTATTTTAACTCCAAATCTAACCTAGACCTACTGTCTAATCTTCGTTCATATCTCGTAAACGTTTGGTTAGTTCTGCCGCTTCTCTTTTTGTTTCTTCCATCGTTCTACTTTTTTTATTGCTAATAATTTTTAACTTTGTTCTTTAATTAGGTTTATGATATTGTTTCCATGGATTGAATAACTTTATATATATACAAAATAGAACGGGTGATAACTTAGTCGAAAACAGTTGTCTTAAACCACTTATATGAGTCATTATTGATTAAATCTAAATTTTACTGTAATTAAAGATATTTTAATAAATTTATCAGTTACATTACAATACCATACAGTCGAATCAAATAATAAAATATTATTAAATAATATCAAACGATACAATCTATCCAAATATTGCATCCATAAAACTATACAATACAATATAATACGATACATTATGAAACGATGAGTAACAACCATCCAAACAAGCTTTTTGGGAACTCACCATTCTAATTATGGCCCTTTCACTATACTTTTATGCTATACCTTAATGGAAATTTAACCAATGTACTAAACGTTTTATTGTCTTGACTCTTGAGTCTTGACTCATAACCTTAAGATTAAGTCAAGAATGTTTGGCCACTTGTCATAACCCAGAGAAAAAAAAAACACAAGAAACAATTCCGGCTAGCAGAAAACGTAAATAAGTGCTAATTTTTTAGAATTTAAAAGAATAATATAATTGGTAAAAAATAATAACTCCATCCGAACACTTAAAAGCAAAACAAGATCAGCGCAATATGACGAGACCGATCCAAGATTTGAAACTTATAAATTGGGAATCGTAATTTTATTAAATTACTGAATTTTAAATTAATTTATACATATTCAATAAATCTTTTAAAATAAATATAGGTTTGGACCAGAATTATTTTATCCAACCGAATCTATAGCTGACACCTAACTCTGTCCCCGAAAACAATGAGAAAAAATAAAAAATAATCAGATTTACAACTGATCATTAAAAAATGGTCACAATTTCAAAAGTAATCGAAATTTAGCGACTTTTTCATGTAAAAATATAATCTGAACAAAAACATCATTAAAAATCCGAAAAAGTTCCAACATAATATGATGGAGTTCGAATTTTTTGCATATGAGATTCCAATATAATATACTGAAATTTTATAATGTGTTGGAGTTCCAACATAATATGCGGGAAGTTTAAATGGAGGAACTCCATAATCCAACATATTTTGTTGGAATTTTCCGTGCTGGAGTTCCAACATAATATGCTAGAAATTTATACGCAGGAGCTCCATAATCCAGCATATTATTCTAGAATTTTTCATGTTTCAGCAAAAGTTTCAGCAAAATAGTGGCTATTTTTCATTGATTTTATAAACACTAGTTATTTTTTTATTACTAGTCCGAAAACTGAAAGGGCCGCGCTAAGAAAACAACATCATTGTTTAGTTCAAATGCCATTGTTATAGCAGCCCATTTGGACTGCTTGAAGTCAAGAACGGCTACTCTAACTGACCTTTCACTTGATTCTCTTTTGGCATGTCAATATTTAACAAGTGAAGGAAGAAGATAAACATTTTATATAGTTTTCAAATTCCAACACCTTTATATAATACTTTATTAAATAAAGGAGTAGTATAGTACTTTTAAAAATAAGAAGACATATTTCAGTATCCAGAGATCAGAGTGGTTGGTAGATCACTTCCCAGTTCGATGTTTTCTACGTAAGTTGTAGACACCAATTTTGATTTTAAAAGCCGCCCGTGACTTCAGCCTTTTTNTACGATAAACTCAACAACAATAATAACAACTCCAGTGTAATTTTACAAGTGTGGTTTGGAGAGGGTGATATGTATGCAGACCTTACCCCTGCCTTAAGAAGGTAGAGAGACTGTTTCCGATAGACTCTTGGCTCAAGAAAAGATGAAAAAAGAAAACAGTAGCAACAAGCAGTAACAATCGGAGCGAAAGAAATAACTTGCAGATGCACATAAATTTTAGTGGATCATTTCTATTATTTGTTGCAATTTTAGTGGATTTTTACACATAAATTTATGTTACGCGTTAAAAGTTATGGGTTCAGTTGACCCGATATCACAAAGCTAGATACGCTTCTGACAACAGGTAATAATAGAAATCTACGAATAAAAAAATACAAGACAACACTAATACTATTGGTATTAAAAAGAAGAACGCTCGACTATATATTAACTCTCTACCCTAATTTTCGACCTCACACCTTCTTATTAAAGGTCATGTCCTTGATAAACTGAAACATCAATACGATAAACTTAGCTCATCAAAATTTAAACACATAAAAAGAAATTACCTAAACTTTTGTGTATATATTGAAATGACTCTACTTTTTTTCCTATTCTCGTTTGAACAGATGGCATTGGCGGATATATCTATGATGAAGATACCATATTTTGTACCTTTATGAAAACTAAAAAGGGGTTAAATCGCAATAAATATGATTTCTATGAAAGAGAAAGACATAAATACTACTAAAAAATTACATATGTGGGACTGATGAGTTAATTTTTCACTCTTATGTCACTATTTATCTTGAGCCGAGTATCTAAAATATTCTTTCCAAAAATATATACATACTATTTTTGCAGAATCCAATACGCATTCGACTATATTTTTGAAGAGTCTGAGCAACATAGATTACTATTGATATGAAATTTATTCAAAAGAATTTCATTTAAACTAAACCAAGGCATTCAATTTGAAATAGAGAAAATAACATTTCAAATATTTTTCTCCCACGTTCAATCTGATGATTGTTCTTTAAAGTCTTTTGGGACTATAACTGTTCTGGGCCTCTCACTGATCAGAAGGAACTTTTCGAACACATTTTCTTTTTCAAAATATTGTGGTGTTCGGATTGGTCTATCATAATTATTTATCATTTTATTTTTTTTGTTAAATGGTTAGAGATCTATTTTTCCATAGAAAAGGTAAGGGGAGACGACAAATTCTGTTACTACATTATTATTATTATTGCAGGAAATTTATTACCGGAAATCGTTAATTTATTAATGTATTAGTAGCAACGAGTGTTTTAAAAGGTGTTTTCGGGGCGATGCGCACCAAAAACGTCCCGAGGCGATGGTGTGGGGCGAAAGTCTCAAGAGGCGTACGTGAGACGCGTTTTTTTAGTGAGGCGTAAGCCTCATAAACTTTTTCAAATTAAAACAAAATTTGTTGAATAAATCATTCATATAATATCCAAATTCTCAAAATTCAGTTTGGTAATTACTCAAAAGTTTTAAAAAAGCAACTGAAATGTATTAAATTTAAAAGTCAAGACCTTTTTTATTGATTGAAACCCTAATTATGGTCTTTCTCAATTCTTTATCTTGTCCGCTAGTCTACCAATATCTCCAAAAAATAACGAATATTCAATTTTATTTTTTATAAATACAAAGAGAACTTCATTCTCCTTCATAGCAGCAAATTCGAAGTTCAAATTACAGGTTAGCCATCCTTTTTGTTCCTCCATATATAAAATTTTATTATTTTCGACTCAAATTACTTATGTTTCTAAGTAGCGTATAATAAATTATTTTGATTAGTTTTTTGTGGGAATGAAGCACATTTAATCTATAATGTCATTTATTTCAAAACCAAAAAAAAAATGAGGGGCCAGTCAATTAAGCCGGTCCAGGATTTTTAATTTTTTATTTTTATGCTCGTGCAGCCCCTCCGTTGTCCCAAACACTACACTGCTTCTGCTACTAATAACTAACAACCCTGCTCCCTGTCCACCCCCACCCCCCCGCTCAAATACCCCTACTCCTACTCGCCATCTATATATATCCGCAGTTTCTGTTGGACCTTCGTATTTGTAGTTTTTTCTTGCTCTCTGTCTTTGTGCTTTCCTCCATTGACGCTCAGAGGTAATTTCACTTTGCTAATCATCCCCTACAAACAACATTTCTCAATTTGCATCTCTATTTTTTCCCTGTTTATTTCTGTGTTTCGAATTTAATGTTCAAATTCATACGTATTCCATGCAAATTCATGCTTTCATGTTTTAGTTTTTGATTGAATTTTGAGTTTTTATTTGTTTTCTAGTTTAGATCTGCGATCGAATCAGTTGAAGCAACTATAGATTTACAGTTTTCAGTGGATCATTTGAGCATTTTCTAGATCTAATTACGTCACAATTGCTGTTTATTTTTTAGTGTCATTTAATATGCTGCTCATATAAAGGAAATAGAAAAAAGAAAAAAAAAAATGCTTTAAGACATATTTCATAATCCTTTTCTTTCTCTCCGTTCCCTAGCTACCTGAGCTCCCGCCAAACAGTATCAGCTATTTTTCCTTTCTCGTTGGAATGACTTGACTGTCCTCATTAATCGACGAAGTTTTAGGTGCCAAAGATAGTAGCTCATGCTTATGCTATGATTTGATATAATAATCTGAAATTTCTGCAATTTTTGGGTCAAATGATTCATGCTTTTGCTACGATTCGTGCATGCTTATGCTATGATTTGATACAATAATTTTTGATTGTTTTTTATTGAAACAGACATCCATCTTTATACATATTCACAATGGCTCCAGCTGCAGCAGACTCCATCAAGCCTAGAGGTAACACATTTGTTATCTTAGCACCTCACGTAGAATATGTGTAGACTGTTCTGATGTAAAACATAGCAAATCGATTTAGCGATGATGTGATTGCAGTATGAGATCTCTGTAAAAATGATTTTCATGGTGTACTCGTGTTATTAGGAGCAGGGCTGTTCTTTGGTCCTAAAGCAATTCGCATGCAAAGATCAACTCTTTTATGCTTAAGCAAGAACTTAGCACTTTCTTCACTTGTGTTTTTTTTTTTTTTTTTTTTT